CAGGTGGTCGGTTTTCTCGTTTTATTGTTCGCAACTGTTTTACTCCTTTCTTTCAAGCTTCGTCACCACCTTGTCTACCCCAGCAACAATGAGGAAGATTCTCTGTCACCTTCAAGCTTCGTCACCACCTTGCCTACCCCAGCAACAATAAGGAAGATTCTCTGTCACCTTCAAGCTTCGTCACCACCTTGTCTACCCCAGCAACAATGAGAAAGATTCTCTGTCACTTTCAAGCTTCTTCACCACCTTGTCTACCCCAGTAACAATGAGAAAGATTCTCTGTCACTTTCAAGCTTCGTCACCACCTTGTCTACCCCAGCAACAATGAGAAAGATTCTCTGTCACTTTCAAGCTTCGTCACCACCTTGCCTACCCCAGCAACAATGAGAAAGATTCTCTGTCACCTTCAAGCTTCGTCACCACCTTTCCTACCCCAGCAACAATGAGAAAGATTCTCTGTCACCTTCAAGCTTCGTCACCACCTTGTCTACCCCAGCAACAATGGAAATAAGTCACTTTGTCTGGCTTTTCTTGGGATATCCTAGGTTCTCTACACATATGTTGCTATGTATGATACTATGTAACTATTTGTATATACCTGAATAAACTTATGATACCTTGAAGATTGAGACACTTATGCAACATATTGGAATCTTTATTAACGAATGGTAAATATTCCCATATGTTGCAAAAGTGTCTTAATCTTCAACTTTCCGGTTTTGAAAACCGTTTATCACACTTATGATACCTGGAGGGAATCTGGAGGGTGTTCGGGGGGGGGGGGTTCAGCGCCCCCGCGGCCCTGTCCATGACCAGGCCTCGCTGTGGTTCAGGGCCTGATCAACTAGCCTGTTACTGCAAACCGACATACGAACCACAGCCTGGCTGTTTTTCGTATATCGGATAGATATTAGGTGTGTTAGGTAAGACACATATGCAACAGTTAGGTATCTTTATTATGAAACGTTTCGCCTACACAGTAGGCTTCTTCAGTCGAGTACAGAAAAGTTGATAGAAGCAGAAGATACTTGAAGACGATGTAATCAGTCCATCACCCTTAAAGTTTTGAGGTGGTCAGTCCCTCAGTCTGGAGAAGAGCATTGTTCCATAGTATGAAACAATATGGAGATGAAGTGACAGGATGGAGCTTATATAGCGCCAAGAGGTGAGACGTAGGCCACTAGGAGAGGTAAGAACTCAGATGTTGAGAGGTCAGGTCCCTCTCAAATCCAGCCGCTCTCACTAGTGGAAGTTGTCGAAGTTGATTGCAGGTCTGTACCAAGATACCCTTGTGTTGCAGTGTCTGACAGATTGAACATTAAAATGGTATAAAATACCGACAGGTTGTTAGGTAAGACACACATGCAACAGTTAGGTATCTTTATTATGAAACGTTTCGCCTACACAGTAGGCTTCTTCAGTCGAGTACAGAAAAGTTGATAGAAGCAGAAGATACTTGAAGACGATGTAATCAGTGAGAGCGGCTGGATTTGAGAGGGTCCTGACCTCTGAACATCTGAGTTCTTACCTCTCCTAGTGACCTACGTCTCACCTCTTGGCGCTATATAAGCTCCATCCTGTCACTTCATCTCCATATTGTTTCATACTATGGAACAATGCTCTTCTCCAGACTGAGGGACTGACCACCTCAAAACTTTAAGGGTGATGGACTGATTACATCGTCTTCAAGTATCTTCTGCTTCTATCAACTTTTCTGTACTCGACTGAAGAAGCCTACTGTGTAGGCGAAACGTTTCATAATAAAGATACCTAACTGTTGCATATGTGTCTTACCTAACAACCTGTCGGTATTTTATACCATTTTAATGTTCAGATATTAGGTGTAATATCTAAGTCTTTTGAAATTATATTTATAAAAACGACGAGACGATGAATAAGATGTACGTGCAATACTTGTGCTTCTTCAGTGATATCAATAAAGATGCCAGGACTTGCACACGTGAGGTCACAGTGAACGACAGAGGTCAAACTGAACGACTGAAGTTGCAGTGAACGACCGAGGTCACAGTGAACGACTGAGGTCACACTGAATGGCCGACGTTTCAGTGAACGGTTCAAGTTAAGGTACGCTGATTAAAGAGAGAAAATTCTGTCTCTCCCCCCCACCCCCTCCCCGCGGTCTTGAAAACCAGGAAATAGTCGCATTAACTCATACTGCAGGAGAAGCACATCATATGTGTACGTAACATCTTTCTTTTCCAGAAAACCAGTGTGGTCATCCAGAGAGGAAATGTTACTACTGTAATAATAATAATAATAATAATAATAATAATATATATATATATATATATATATATATATATATATATATATATATATATATATATATATATATATATATATATATATATATAGAATTGATGAGGGAAAAAGAGTGAGTGGTGCACTTAGGAGTCTGTGGAGACAAAGAACTTTGTCCTTGGAGGCAAAGAGGGGAATGTATGAGAGTATAGTTTTACCAACGCTCTTATATGGGTGTGAAGCATGGGTGATGAATGTTGCAGCGAGGAGAAGGCTGGAGGCAGTGGAGATGTCATGTCTGAGGGCAATGTGTGGTGTGAATATAATGCAGAGAATTCGTAGTTTGGAAGTTAGGAGGAGGTGCGGGATTACCAAAACTGTTGTCCAGAGGGCTGAGGAAGGGTTGTTGAGGTGGTTCGGACATGTAGAGAGAATGGAGCGAAACAGAATGACTTCAAGAGTGTATCAGTCTGTAGTGGAAGGAAGGCGGGGTAGGGGTCAGCCTAGGAAAGGTTGGAGAGAGGGGGTAAAGGAGGTTTTGTGTGCGAGGGGCTTGGACTTCCAGCAGGTATGCATGAGCGTGTTTGATAGGAGTGAATGGAGACAAATGGTATTTAATACTTGACGTGCTGTTGGAGTGTGAGCAAAGTAACATTTATGAAGGGGTTCAGGGAAACCGGCAGGCCGGACTTGAGTCCTGGAGATGGGAAGTACAGTGCCTGCACTCTGAAGGAGGGGTGTTAATGTTGCAGTTTAAAAACTGTAGTGTAAAGCACCCTTCTGGCAAGACAGTGATGGAGTGAATGATGGTGAAAGTTTTTCTTTTTCGGGCCACCCTGCCTTGGTGGGAATCGGCCAGTGTGATAATAAATATATATATATATATATATATATATATATATATATATATATATATATATATAATATATAATATTTTTATATATATATATACGTGCCGAATAGGCAGAACTTGCGATCTTGGCTTAAATAGCAACGCTCATCTTGCCATATAGGACAAGTGAAAATTTGTGTATGCAATAATTTCGCCAAAATCATTCTGAACCTAACGAAAAAAATATGTTTCACTGTGTTTGTTTAGTATTAAATTATTGTAAACAAATCTAAAATATATTTAGTTGGGTTAGGCTAAAATAAATTGTTCTTGTTATAAAAAGGTTAGGTAAGTTTTCTAAGATTCTTTTGGTGTAAAATTAAAATTTTTTACATTAACATTAATGAAAAAAATATATCTTTAAACACATAAAAGAAAATTTCAGAAAGGACTTAATTTTAAATGAGTTCTTGCTAATTGACCAGTTTTATATATTCGGCACGACATATATATATAATATATATATATATATATATATATATATATATATATATATATATATATATATATATATATATATATAATATATATATAAACACGTGGCTGTGGCAAACTGCATGACTAATTTCATTCTTGTCTCGTTTGGAAATACCAATCACACAAGCAGCATATTAATAGGTTAAAGTCCCTGACCCGTAAGACATCTTTGATATGGCAAGGATGCCTTACGGGTGAAAGGTGACGAGTTGCACTGGCGTGTACATTATTTTTAAAATAGCAAATTAGGTGAAAGAATGTGTGTGAGTGTCAAGCAAGGAAGAGAGGCTCAAGGAGGTGCAGTGCTAGAAGGTGTCAGCGGGTAAAAAGAAAAGTGAATGTGTATTCAAAGAGAAAGCTAATGGAGAGGTGTGGCCAGCATTTCGTAGAATGATGGAGGCATTCACACACTGAAGGTGGACCCTGTAAAGAAGATTTTCAATAGAAATGACAAAGCTGTTTCTAGTCATGTCAGTTGGTCGAAAGTTGAGAAGTGGGATTCCTGCCTCCCCTTCCACCCCCACACACATAATGGGAGAGAGCCAATAACCCGGGACAAATGAATGAAACTTCGTGACAAGAAATACAAAGCAAATGTGCGTTAATTTTTAGTTTTGTAAAGTTAAAGAGCGATGGACCAGAGAATCAACTGAGTTTGTAAGTGTAAAGGCAATGCAGTCCTTAAGAACCACAAGCAAAAGCACTTTCTGAACATAGGATTTAAGTGGATACTCTGCAGAGGACCACTTTAGTCAATGGAATATTAACTTTAATAGAGCCTACCTAAGTGTAAGTTTATAAAATAATAATAATAATAATAATAATAATAATAATAATAATAATAATAATAATAATAATAACAATAAAAATAACAATAATAACAGCAATACTAATAAAGAGGGAAAAAACACACACACATCTAATTTAAATATGAGTATATTTGCATAAATTTTTATGGGAACATTTCATTCTCTCTCGAGCATTTATCACAAAAACTTACAAAAATAAATACTCACTAACTCAGATCAGGAACGTAATAATATTTGTTTACCGTAATGAAACTTGTAACAATTCAAGTGATATAAATTAGAGTTTAAATATAAATAAGTCCTTACGCATTTAATAACGAACTCGTATGTAGAACTAGTGAAGGGTATCTCCAGATGCCTCGATTAATAATAATGATAATAAATTATTATTATTATTATTATTATTACAAGTGTTATCAAATTTAACAAGAATAATAATAATGTTAATATATAATAATAATAATAATAATAATAATAATAATAATAATAATAATAATAATAATAATAATATCATTATTATTATTATTATTATTATTATTATTATTATTTTTATTATTATTATTAAGTTTTATAACATTAATAATAAATAATAACAAGCAGCTTATTGAAGGGGATGAGGGTAAAAAATGATCAAACAATGTAATACAGTAATAATAATTAATATGTGCAGATATTACCCGAGACCAGCAGGTAATACTCACAATCCAAGAACAAACAACTCATGGTAGCACTAGGAAAATTAGCTGCCATAGACTCTCATAATCAGAAATTTCATTCCAACTTACAAGATGTTAAACTCGTAAAGTCAGTCAGCACCTCGAGAACAATAGAATGAAACTTTGAGGCAAGAGATGCAACACAAAAGTAGCTATAGTTTTTTTTTTTAAGATGACAACTATACCTCATTGAATTTAACTCTGCTGACGACGCGAGTGGAAAAAACACTGTGGCTTAAGAATGCCCATAAACTGGTAGTTTATAAATGAATAATAATGTAAAACTAAACCCGTGTAGTGACTAATAATCAAGGGAGATCACAGGCATGCATAGGCCTACAGATACTGTGGATTAATTAGTAGATCTAGAAGTAATTGAAATATAGTTGGAGGGTAGTTATAATGTGGAATGCCTAAAGCTTATGCTATGTGGCAATACTTCAGCTGGTTATACATTTACTAAAGTGTAAAGATTCAGAATGGTACATTACTGATTATAAAATCACAATATATAGACAAAGTCTTTACTGAGATCACATTTTTTTCAGGGTTGAGCTTTATAAAGCTCATCCTTGAGAGAAACGTCGTCTTAATCGCAGTTTCTTGAGCATATTGTGTCTCCTAACCATACTTGAGCCATCACGCAGGAAAATACAATACTGAAATTTGTAGTGAAAAATTAGCTGCTACTTTATAAATTAAACTTTTTCCAACACATTAATTACTAAATAATCCTAAACATTAAGGAACACATTTTTTTGCTTTGAAAAAATATATTACTCTGAGGGACGGTCCCCATAAATACATAATTGAAATATAAATGCATGGGATTGACTAGATATATTCAGTAATAATGAAGTATTTCCGGGCTAAATATTTTAAGCACTGCTACAAGCATTTATCTAGTAAATGTATGTCAGTGGATAATTCTTCGTTTGTTTTCCTCGTTTATGGAGACCACATGAAACACCTCTGATATTTAGGTCTTCGACCATCCTTCAGTCATAGGTCTTCTGAGATCTCCAAGATTTAGTTTTCCTAGATTGTTCTGAAGAACCATGTAGGTGCGAAGGTCTGTGAAGTCATGACAACAGATTCGAGGAAGATGGCGGGGAAAGTCAATATTTTCCCGAAGTATTTGTTCCCCTAAAGCTGACCTGAAAACATAGAAAATGGGCAAAAATTAATCCATTAGACTTTGAACGCGTTTCACAATATATATATATATATTATATATATATATATATATATATATATATATATATATATATATATATATATATATATATATATATATATATATATATATATATATATATATATTTGTCTCTAAATAACAACGATTAAAAATTTCTTACTTAATTTAAGTTATGATCTATAGTAGGTTATGTCTCTTTTCTGTTTTATTATGAGTCTTAACAACGATACAAATAACAGCAAAAAACAAGATTTCGTTTTGTGAAATTGGAATGCCGGCAGCTAGCACCAACAGCCTTACTGACCAGGCTATGAGTGTCGTTGTAATAACTTAATGGTCGGCATTTTTCCTCCTAATTATCACCCCGCAGGGGGTGATGGGGAAGAAGGGCATGGTGTGATACTGGCCCTGGGGAGGGCAGCATGACCCTCGGAACCATCTACAAGTAATCGACAGGTAATCTACACGTAGTTTACAGGTAGTGTACCTCAAGTGGTCAGGTAAGGAGGGATGACTGTAAAGTACTCACTTGATATATATATTAGTGTATGCCTATGATCCACGGACTAAAGCAGCCATGTCTTGATACTCATCCACAGGCAGGAGGAGGTTGGACACACATGAAGTGAAGTATTTGGTAGCGAAGCAGCCCATTCTGGGGAGAGATTTTTATAAGTATCAAAAATGGTATACCGCAGTGTGGCTGCCTTGATCTGTATGACATTTACAAAGTTTGAGCAAGAATTAACTATAGGAGGAATTACATTAAGTGTATCAATTGTTCGATAATAAAGAATCGCTACAGTAGGCCTACTGGCCTACAAACGGTGCTCAGTTAAAAATATAAACATGTTCAAAACATTGTTCAGAGTTGTGGCTATCGTTTACAAACACTAAACATTTGATTGCCTTATTGTATAAGATGATGCAGAATGTATACAATACCTGCACTCGTTTTCTATTTCAGGTGATCTGTAGAGATTCTGACAGTCGACACAGACGCGGTTCAACCTGGCCCACACGCCCCGGTCGTAGAAACCTTTGCACTGTGAGTCGAAGACTGCTCTCTTAGTAACACTGTGGTATTCAAGACCTGAATCTCTCCTTCGTACATTGTACTCTTGAGGCAAGCTCTTGTAGGGGGACGTCTGAAGAAGCCATTGAACCTCCCCGGAAGAAAGTGAACGCCCAGAACACAACGTCGTTAGAACGACCAACACTACCACTAACGTAACCTGCAAAGGAAACGGATTCATTAGCAAATACAAAACACACATGCAATAAAGGATGCAAATAAACACTTCCTGGTATGAGATCACTTCCACTTCACCTGCTTTTGTTATTAACAAAAACAGATTCACCATTTCAACCACCTTCTCAGCTACACGCCATCACTTTCTATTGACACACTATGTTGTGTGTTTATTCTCATCTTCCTTTACATAGAATATCAATTAAAATAATAGTTTTTGTCATATTCAGTCACAAAGAATAGTTTTCCTGTAGTGCTCCATCACACATGATGGTTGTCTGTTATATTCCATTACGCAGATTGCTTAATAGTCATATTCCATCACACATGATGGGCTGCGTACATCAAGAAATGAAAAAGATCGGCCTGAGCTGGGAGCCGTTAGTAGGGCAATGAGAAAATAGTCAATATTCCAGTTTGGGTTCAGTAACAATACCTAAGTAATGTGGATATAACTAAGAACTGGAGGCATACCCAGGTATTGGAGATATACTTCACTGAAGTATAACTGGAAAATCGCACCGGAGTCCTGGAAAACCGGCACTGGGTAAGGTCCGGCTGTTGCAGCACACTGGAAGTGAGCACTCTCCTGCCGGCAGGGGCTGGTACAGTGGTATCGGACTGGTACAGGTGGCCCGGTGGCCTGGTGGCTAAAGCTCCCGCTTCACACACGGAGGGCCCGGGTTCGATTCCCGGCGGGTGGAAACATTTCGACACGTTTCCTTACACCTGTTGTCCTGTTCACCTAGCAGCAAATAGGTACCTGGGTGTTAGTCGACTGGTGTGGGTCGCATCCTGGGGGACAAGATTAAGGACCCCAATGGAAATAAGTTAGACAGTCCTCGATGACGCACTGACTTTCTTGGGTTATCCTGGGTAGCTAATCCTCCGGGGTTAAAAATCCGAACGAAATCTTATCTTATCTTACAGTGATCGTGGACCCTGGTACAGTCATTGTGGACCGTGGTACAGAGTTCCTTAACCTGAACGCCTATCCGGGTAGGAGGGAAATCCCGAGTTTCACACTTCAGGTATTCTCATATTTTTAAACTTATCAATATTTCTTCTGACATTCCAAACCATACCACGGGTTGGGTTAGAACCCGCGATCAGAGAGTCATAAAACTCCAGACCGACGCGTTAGCCACTGGGCCAGCTAGCTACAAAAAGAACGCGGGTTCTAACTCCACCCGTGGTATAGTTTGTTTGCAATCGTGTCATTACGATTTCGTGAGTCAGTCTACTGACATTCATCTGCGTTTAAAAAATAATACAATAAAACAAGTGTTGCTGGCTACATATAGGGAACTCCCATTATTTTTCTATTACCGGGGGAAAGCTATGAGTCACCAACGCTTGAGGAACGGAAGGTAAACACGATTTAAGAAAGACGATGAATAGCCTTTCGCCTTCACAAATTAATCCACTTATCTTCAAATTGTGGATCGTGACTTGATCCATCCACGGTGATTTGGCTATCGTTTTTTCACATGGGAGAAATCCACCACGTTCCTTAGGTTTCCTTTGCTCGACCAACCCATTGAATACAGTGTTTGCCAGGCGGAGGAGAAACATATGTATGTATTTAGGATTCTTTACACAATGTCATGGAGGACGGCCATGACCCGGCGGGAAAGTCCAGAAATATTCCCCGCCACCCTTCCTTCACAGGGAAAATTAACTCAAAAATAAGGAGTCAAGAATTTTTGTCATGTCTGGAAGGAAGTCCTGATGTGCTATCACAGCACATATAAAATTATTATTATTATTATTATTATTATTATTATTATTATTATTATTATTATTATTATATGAAAAATCATGTCAGCTAAGTTCATGTTTAATTATCATAATAAGATATAGAGCAGTGTGAGACACCTTTCACTCGACGTTCGAACCCTCCCAGCATGTACTAGACGGTTTAACACTTTTGATAAATTAAAAATATTCCAGATCCAGCAGCTGCCCACTCAGCTCACTTCAAGAATAGACGGGTCCATGTAACAATCTCCATAAACAAACTAAAATAGCAACCTCCATCCATCATATGATTATGTATCGCTCATTTCCTGGTTTTTACGATTTTTTTTTTGTCTTTATCTGTTCCATGCTCAACTTTCGTTTATTGTGATGCTGAACATTATTACTATTATCTCTATCTTACATATCAAGAAAAATCGATACTCTCACCGTGATGCAGATCTGGAGTGTCTTTGTATAATGGAATTTTGCCGGGGGCATGACTTCCAGCAGGACTGCCTAGCAGTTATTACCACAGGTTGCCACCTACTGTAGTGGACTGATACATGGTGCAGGTACTGCTGGGTGGGTGAGGAGTGTAAGGAAATTTACCTGTATGTTTCGCTGACCCGGGGATCGAACCCGGGACGTTACAGGTGGGAGGAGAGCGATCCCAGAGACAGAGAACATACCTGAGGCAACGTTAGTAGGGTTTCGCAATGTCTATCTTAACCACCGTGACGCCACAGACCTTCGTCTATTCTTACCATGATATTATGTTCCCGGTTGACGTGGAAGGACGGTCACACTTTCAGCTCCCGTCAGAAAGAGAAGGAGGGTTCAATTCTCCGAAAGATAATCGACCCGTCCATTGTTTCACCCCAATTACGTGATACACAAAACCGCACAATGTTTAAATTTTACCTACCCTTATTCAACCATGAATAAGGATCCTTGTCTCGGTCTCTCCATTCACGAGTAGACACAGTCATGCGGCCAGTATTAATGATACACTGTTGGAGTGACTTAATGTTGGTTAAGGACTCAGCAGACAATGGGGGTACCATACACCTTCATTGGATCAAATATGATCACCACCCATTCCCCAGATGCTGCATGCGTTTAGCGCTTCCCCATGGATATCATAGAATTCCTGGGATACGTCAATATCTCCCATGAGATTTAGAATCACGCACAACAGTGCTCATGAATTTAAAGCAATACGATATATCTAAATAGAGTCAATCAGCTGAAGTCAAAATCCGGAACTTCAATTAATTATAATTCTACTGAAGAATTAACACTTTATCTATAATTCTATTCTTAAGTATATAATGTACTTTTAAAGTCTCTAGAGACTATTGCAGCAATGAATTTGCATGTGTCTATTTAAAGGCCTACAATGAAGTTGAAATCCTCTTCTCCCTTCCCTCCTCTCTGTTTCTTTCCCCAATACATATTTTTTTTTCCCGTTCTGGGATGATAGAGATGTCTTCGAAAATTTAAGTTCTCCCGTGTATGGAATAGTCCATCTTGAGAGATGGTATTTTCCTAGTAAACTTAAGTCTAGCTCTGCTGGAAGGAAACCTTTGAAGCTCTCCTGGCTGATGAATATTTAATGGAATACCTGGTGGTATTCTCGTTGTCCTACTGGAATCTCCCACCTCAGGTCTGACACATTTCAACACTGTACGAATTCCAGAAAAAAATGGCGAAACGCCGAGAGTATGGCGAGCAAGACACCGATTGATAAAGTCAATTTGTGGTGAAACGTTGTATGGTGAGGGAGCACAGAACAAACCTGCCAGGGAATACAGAACCTGCCAAGGAGTACAGAGCCTGCCAGGGAGTACAGAACCTGCCAGGGAGTACAGAACCTGCCAGGGAGTACAGAACCTGCCAGGGAGTACAGAATCTGCAGGGAGTACAGAACCTGCAGGGAGTACAGACCCTGCCAGGGAGGACAGAACAGTCTACCAGGGAGTACAGAACAACCTGCCAGGGAGTACAGAACAACCTGTCAGGGAGTACAGAACAACCTGCCAGGGAGTACAGAACACCCTGCCAGGGAGTACAGAACAACCTGCCAGGGAGTACAGAGCAACCTGCCAGGGAGTACAGAACAACCTGCCAATGAGTACAGAAAACCCTGCCAGGGAGCACAGAACAACCTGCCAGGGAGTACAGAACAACCTGCCAGGGAGTACAGAACAACCTGCCAGGGAGTACAGAACAACCTGCCAGGGAGTACAGAACACCCTGCCAGGGAGTACAGAACAACCTGCCAAGGAGTACAGAACAACCTGCCAGGGAGTACAGAACAACTGCCAGGGAGTACAGAACAACCTGCCAGGGAGTACAGAACAACCTGCCAGGGAGTACAGAACAACCTGCCAGGGAGTACAGAACAACCTGCCAGGGAGTACAGAACAACCTGCCAGGGAGTACAGAACAACCTGCCAGGGAGTACAGAACAACCTGCCAGGGAGTACAGAACACCCTGCCAGGGAGTACAGAACAACCTGCCAGGGAGTACAGAACAACCTGCCAGGGAGTACAGAACAACCTGCCAGGGAGTACAGAACAACCTGCCAGGGAGTACAGAACACCCTGCCAGGGAGTACAGAACACCCTGCCAGGAGTACAGAACAACCTGCCAGGGAGTACAGAACAACCTGCCAGGGAGTACAGAACAACCTGCCAGGGAGTACAGACAACCGCCAGGAGTACAAACAACCTGCCAGGGAGTACAGAACAACCTGCCAGGGAGTACAGAACAACCTGCCAGGGAGTACAGAACACCCTGCCATGGAGTACAGAACAACCTGCCAAGGAGTACAGAACACCCTGCCAGGGAGTACAGAGCACCCTGCCAGGGAGTACAGAACACCCTGCCAGGGAGTACAGAACACCCTGCCAGTGAGTACAAAACAACCTGCCAGGGAGAGTACAGAACACCCTGCCATGGAGTACAGAACACCCTGCCAGGGAGTACAGAACACCCTGCCAGGGAGTACAGAACACCCTGCCAGGGAGTACAGAGCAACCTGCCAGGGAGTACAGAACACCCTGCCAGGGAGTACAGAACACCCTGTCAGGGAGTACAGAGCAACCTGCCAGGGAGTACAGAACACCCTGCCAGGGAGTACAGAACACCCTGCCAGGGAGTACAGAACACCCTGCCAGGGAGTACAGAACACCCTGCCAGGGAGTACAGAGCACCCTGCCAGGGAGTACAGAGCAACCTGCCAGGGAGTACAGAACAACCTGCCAGGGAGTACAGAACACCCTGCCAGGGAGTACAGAACACCTGCGAGGGAGTACAGAACAACCCTGCCAAAAGTACGAACACCCTGCCATGGGATTACAGAACAACCTGCCAGGGAGTTACAGAACGAACCTGCCAGGGAGTACTAGAACACCTGCCAAGGAGTACAGACAACCTGTCAGGGAGTACAGAACACCTGCCAGATACAGACAACCTGCAAGAGTACAGAACTACCCTGCCAGGGAGTACAGAACAACCTGCAGGGAGTCGAACAACCTGTCCAGGGAGTAAGAACACCCTGCCAGGGAGTACAGAGCAACCTGCCAGGGAGTACAGAACACCCTGCCTTTTTATATTCTTTCCATTCACCATATTTTACAGAATTTTCTGTCATCGTCTATACATACGCACTTGGCTGTGGCTACCTATATACCCATGCTTATGAGGAGCGATATACCCGTAGTAATAATTAGCACGGAAAGATAAGGCAATTTAATCTTGTAGATCTAGCTCTGTGGTTTGTGGGATCATTCTCGTTCTGCCAGCTTTGAAACTGCTCCCAGGGAAATGCTGTCCCTTCCTTCTCTACCTGAGTCAACTTGAAGTCGTTCCAGGTCACGCTTCCCGCGTCCAGTTTCTGACCAGACCTCCAAGTGGATCAGCCTGACAACCATGCTTATGTATTGCCGCATGCAGTCCAACGTAACCACAGCCCGATGATAGTTACTATCTAGTCCTCTGAAGGCAGCCAGGGGTTTTATTGGTGATCGTTGATGCCGTGGGAGGCTGTTGAACAGCCTTGGCCCCGACACTATGCGTTTTCTTCTAGTATATTCATTCATCTCTTGCATTTCATTGGAGGGATGTTGCACTGTCTTATGCTTTCGTAGAGAGTGATTTCTGTGTACAGATTTGGGACCAGTCCCTCGAGGATTTTCTAGGTGTAGGTTTTGATGCATCTTTCTCGCCTGGGCTCCAGGGAGTACATGTGAAGAGACTCCAAACATTCCCAGTAATTAAGGTGCCTGACTGAACTTATATGTACAGTGAAGGTTCTCTGTACATTTTCTAGATCTGTGATTTTATCTGCATTGAATGTGGCTGTTGGTGTACAGCTCCACTTCCCAGCCACCTTCACAGGGCAGTACTTCCTGACGTCCCTGTGATTCATGTGTCTTCAGCTTTCATCAACGCCTCTGTCTCTGTCTCTCTGAGTATCTTGCACATCGTGACCAAGTCATCCCGGGTTTCCTCTCTAAGAAAAAAACCCTTCATAGGTCATTGTTGTTTATGTAGCTGTAGACGATCAGTGTGTGTGTGTGTGTGTGTGTGTGTGTGTGTGTGTATACTCACCTAATTGTAGTTGCAGGGTCGAGTCACAGTTTCTGGCCCCCGCCTTTTCACTGTTCGCTAATAGGTCCACTCTCTTTCCGTTACATGAGCTTTATCGTATCTCTTCTTAAAGCTATGTAAGTAATCTGCCTCCACTACATTACTCTCCAGATCGTTCCACTTCCTAACAACTCTGTGACTGAAGAAATACTTCCTAACATCCCTGTGACTCATCTGAGTTTTCATCTTCCAGTTGTGACCCCTTGTGGCTGTGTGTGTGTGTGTGTGTGTGTGTGTGTGTGTGTGTGTGTGTGTGTGTGTGTGTGTGTGTGTGTGTGTGTGTGTTAGTTACCATTTTGTCCTAGGCACATGTCGATAGACACTAGGCCTGGTGTGTATGTGTGTGTCTCTGTTTGTTTGTTCTGTGTTTGTGGATGTTAGTACCATTCTTTCCTAAGCTACATGTCGTATTAGAAACTAGGCTGAAGTGTGTGTGTGTGTGGTGTGTGTGTTGTGTGTGATTGTGTGTGTGGTGTGTAGTTTGTCGTGTGTCTGTGTTGTTGGTCATCGTGTCCGTAAGGTTGTGTATGCTGTTTGTAGCTTGTAGTATGCCTCTAGTATTCGATGCTGCCTGTGTGTGTTGTTGTGTGTATTCATGCTGGTGTGTCATGTGTTGTGACCTTGTGTGTGGTGTGTTATGTGTGTGTGTGTATGTGTGTGTGTGTGATGTGTGTGTGTGTTGTGTGTGTATGTGCTGCGTCGTGCGCTGGCTGTGTGGTGTGTGTGTGTGTGTGTGTGTGTGTGTGTGTGTGTGTGTGCATGTGTTGTGTGTGTTGTATGTTGTGTGTGTTGTGTAGTGTGTGTGTGTGTGTGTGTGTGTTTGTGTGTATGTGTGTGTGTGTGTGTGTGTGTGTGTGGTGTGTGTGTGTGTGTGTGTGTGTGATGTGGTGTGTGTGTGTGTGTGTTGTGTGTGTGTGTTTGTTGTTGTGTGTGTGTGTGGTGATGTGTGGTGTGTGTGTGTGTGTGTGTGTTTGTTGTGTGTGTGTGTGTGTGTGTGTGGTGGTATGTGTGTGTGTGTGTGTGTGTGGTGTGGTGTGTGTGTGTGTGTGTGTGTGTGTGGTTATGTGTGTGTGTGTTTGTATGTGTGTGTGTGTTGTGTGTATGTGTGTGTGTGTATGTGTGTGTGTGTGTGTGTGTGTGTTGTGTGTGTGTATGTGTGTGTGTGTGTGTGTGTGTGTGTGTGTGTGTGTATGTGTGTGTGTGTTGTGTGTGTGTGTGTATGTGTGTGGTGTGTGTATGTGTGTTGTGTGTGTGTGTTGTGTGTGTGTGTGTGTGTGTGGTGTGTGTGTGTGTATGTGTTGTGTGTGTGTTGTGTGTGTGTGTGTTGTGTGTGTATGTTGGTGTATGTGGTGTGTGTGGGTGTGGTATGTGTGTGTGTGTGTGTGTGGTGTGTGTGTGTGTTGTGTGTGTGTGTGTATTGTGTGTGTGTGTATTGTGTGTGTGTGTGTATGTGTGTGTGTGATGTACTTTCCACCTGTTCCTGACTCACCTTCCGGAAGTAGTGGGTGAGATAAGCTCAGCATGACTTGTCATTTTCGAAGAAATTAATTGTTTTAGGTGCACACGTTCGCACTGTGCACTGAGTCATGTACACACTCCGCCAATGATGTGTACACCTTCACCGAGGAATGCAGTCACGTTTCTATTTTGCACCAACACAAACAATAATTAAAAAAAAATCTAGCACACTAGAGATAGCCTCATCTTGATCTTATCTTCTCACAGCATCTTAAGATGTCTTAGATGTAGCAACCTCCGCGATATCTTCTCACAGCATCTTCAAAGATGTCTTAGATGTAGCATCCTCCATAATATCTTCTCACAGCATCTTAATTAGGATGTCTCAGACGTAGCATCCTCCACGATATCTTCTCACAGCATCTTAATTAGGATGTCTCAGATGTAGCATCCTCCATGATATCTTCTCACAGCATCTTAATTAAGATGTCTCAGATGTATCATCCTCCACGATATCGTCTCACAGCATCTTAAGATGTCTCAGATGTAGCATCCTCCACGTGAGGGTGTGCTGTGGGAGCTGCTTCAGGAAGAGGCCATGGGCGAGGTGCGGGTGTGCTGTGGGAACACTTCAGGTGTTGGCGTGGAGCAACAGATCTCAAGTCACTCCCGAGCATCACTATTACTAGAAGACCTGACTCTCCTACCTCACCAAGAGACACTCAGTGAGTGTTACTTACCGCACAGTGTGACATTGTAGAGGGCTGAGCGGAGAACGCCACCTGTACTTCCTTTAACAGCGGGTGAAGCCGGTCTGGTGACGGCGGCTCCGGTCGCCTCAGTATATATACGGCTCTGCATCGTTGGAGGCGATTGCGTCATCGATTCTACACTACCTGGATAATATATTTTCAATCAATATAAATCGGTAATTAGTTCAACGTTAAACATGCCATACATTACAGCAGCATATGTTTTTAATATTTTATTTGCAAATTGTTTATTTAGTGAGTGCTTCGTTGGCACTCAAATACAGCGAGAGGGTCGGACCTCAGAGATTCAGCAGCCGTCGTGGAGGGAGGATGCTGCGCGCGCTCTCTCTGTTAATTAAGAGTAAAGCCATAACCATAACATATTAGTGATGAAACTCGAGTGTGAACAAGACTGGAGAACATGTTCGTCCTTGAAAATGTCAAGATCAATTCTTGAGTAGCAGGTTGACTGTCAGTCTTGGATATATAGCTGTCAGCGACCAGTGCATCACGTGTGAACGTTAATACCAGTCTCAAGAGAATGTGACGTAAATCGACAAGAAATTATGTGAATCATTCATTAACATTTACGTAAATTTCTCGAAAATGCTGATATGAATAATAAAAAAAAGTGATGTAAATAATAGGTGATTGTGCGAACCGTATGGAATGTTTATTTACCCACGTAAGCACTTATTAAAAAAATATTTTGAGTGGTAAACAGCTTATTTCCAATTTGGTACTTGATAAAATCCCCAATATGGCTAAAATAACTTAAAATAATTGTTTTTCCCCCCTGCTAAATGACCTTTATATTACCATGTAATTTGAGAGGTTATGTGAAATTTTTTGCTAATATATTTTTCCCCTGTTAAATGCCTTTTAAACTACCATGTATTTAGAGAGGTCACTTGATGTACTTTGCTAACATAAACATGAATTATTATTATTATTATTATTATCATAATTACTGCTATTTCTTCTACTTCTACAACTACAACTGTTGCTACTAATACTACGTCTACTACTGTTACTACTACTACTATAATATTTTTGTTGCTATGACTACTACTATTACTAATACTACTGTTACTATTACTTCTACCACTAGTATTATTATTACCACCACTACTACTACTACTACTACTATTATTATTATCACTAGTACTACTACTACTACTACTACTACACATATTGCTACTACTACTAGTAACACTATTACTACTACTACCAGTACTGTTTTCTACTTCTGTTACTACTAACCTTCCACAACACTTACATATAAGTCATATACAAGCTTCGCTCTTCTCCTTATATGAGAAAATTGTGCTATTTAAAACCCTGATATAAACCGGGTTTTAATTATTTTAACGTGACGAAATTTTCTTATCATAGCGACTCTACTTCCTCCATTATGTAAATGAGGTTATGATTTGCCTTTTGTCTGTGCGGTGACTGAAAAATATTGACTCAGTGTTCTGAAGTATGACTTAGTTGGTGGTCGAAATATTTGGTGCTGTTTTATAATGTTCGTATTAATTTTTTTCAGTTTTGGTTAGCTTGTATTATTGCCATTGAGTGACTGTTTTTACACTTTATGATGTGGATATAATGAGCTTGATAAATATCACTAGCATGGGCCTACTGGCCCATGCTGGGTGTAAGTAAGACCTGCCTAGCATGGCCCAGGTCTTACCTACACCTAGCCATTTCCACTGCTATATCTGTCAAATAATTTAAGGTCACCTATGGCATTCGCTTGAAAGATGCTACTTGAGAGTGCCACTCAGCTACAACTCTCTTATACAGGGTACACCACTTGTATTTTTGAGTGCTAATGATGTATCAGAGACAATGAAAAACATTAAACCTGATTCCTGAAAAGCTATTCGCGTCACTGGCCGTCCGAAAATGATTTTCAGATCCAAGTTAATATCTAGAGTAAGCCTACATGACGGTGCGTCCAGCATCACCCCCTATAACGCAACTTCACAACCTTGAACAACTGTGACGTTGGAATCTCATGAATAATTGTGTTATGAGTTCTGTAATTAATGCAGTGCAGCACACACTCATGGACTGCTTCCTTCCCTGTGTCTAATGCCTTCTGTTTTTACGTCATCGTGTACGAGAAAGACTGAATCATTTTAAGTTGCTGAGAGGTGTGTATCTCAACGTTTATAACCTGAGAAAGATGTAGTATTGCTGAAAAATGTTTATGGATAGTCTCTCCTGGGCTGAAATAATATCAGGCAAATCAGACCTAATAAACAGAGTAATAAAGACTAATTTCATGGATGAATTAACGCGGCTTGTAACGGCGATGATACTTTCTGATGATCTATCTAAAAGTAACTTTATGAATGCAGGCATGAGTTAACTACCGTTTGGATATTATATCCAATATTATAAAACTATAATTAATTTTTTTTGAAAAGGCGACTGAATGTACTATAAGGGAAGTGTCATAATAACAGGTCCGTAATCATCATACAACAGTCATGTTTACTCAGGTGAAGCATAATTTTGCTGGGCAGAGTTGGGCGAGGCTAGGTGTACATAATGTCTTGCAGATTATTGATAATTTGTATAATATATTATTTAAAATAATACTCCACTAACCATGGTGTGCTTTAAAATAAACCATGTTGTAGCTAGTTTTTATGCTATTATTCGACATATGAATAATAACATTATTTATTAACACATCGGCCGTTTCCCACTAAGGCAGGGTGACCCGAAAAAGAAGACAAACTTTCACCATCATTCACTCCATCACTGTCTTGCTAGAGGCGCGCATACCCTACAATTAAAAAACTGCAACATATCAACACCCCTCCTTCAGAGCGCAAGCACTGTACTTCCCACCTCCAGGATTCAAGTCTGGCTAACTAGTTTCCAAGAATCTCTTCATAAATGTTACTTTGTTCACACTCCAACAGCACGTCAAGTCATAAAATGCATTTGTTTCCACTTGCTCGTATCTAATATACTCACGCACGCTTGCTGGAAGTCCAAGCCCCTCATACACAAAACCTTTACCACCTCCCTGCAGCCATTCCAAGGACGACCCCTACCTCACCTTTCTTCCACTACAGATTTATACGCCCTCCAAGTCATTCGACTTTGTTCCATCCTCTCCACTTCAGCAACCCCTCCTCAGTAACCCCACACATCTTCCTAATTTCTAAACTACGGATTCTCTGCATTATATTCACACTGCACATTGCCATCAAACAAAATCTCTACTGCCTCTAGCCTTCTTGTTGCAACATTCATCACCTGTGATTCCCAAACATACAAGAGTTTTGGTACACCTATGCTCTCACACATTCCCCTCTTTGCTTCCATGGATAATGTTCTTTGTCTCCACAGACTCTTCAGTGCACCACTCACCTTTTTCTCGTCATCAGTTCTATGATTCATTTCGTCTTTTATAGACTCATCTGCTGACAAGTCCAGTCCCAGATATCTGAAAACTTTCACTTTCTCCATACTCCCTCCCTCCAATTTGATATCCAGTCTTTCAATACCTAATCTTTTTGTTATCCTCATCGCCTTGTTCTTTCATATGTTCACTTTTAATTTCCTTCTTTTACACACCCTTCCAAACTCATTCACCAACTTCTGCAACTTCTCTTCAGAATCTTCCAAAAGCACAGTGTCATCAGCAAAAAGCATCGGTGGCAACTCTTATTCTTGTAATCCCATACCTCTTGCCAGCACCTGAACATTCACTTCTCTTACAACTCCATCTATAAATATATTGAATAACCATGGTGACGTCACTCGTCCCTGTCTAAGGCCTACTTTTACTGGTAAATAATCTTCTTTTCTCCTACATAGTCTAACCTGAACCTCACTATCCTCGTAAAAACTCTTAACTGCCTTCAGTAACCTACCACCTATTCCATCTACTTGCTACACCTGCCACATCGCTTCCCTATCCGCCTTATCATATGCCTTTTGCAGATCCATAAATGCAACGAAAGCCTCTTAACCCTTATCTAAATACTGTTCACCTATAAGATTCACTGCAAATACTTGGTCTACACACTCCTACCCTTCGTAAAGCCTCCTTGTTCATTTGTGATCCTGTTCTTCATCTTATGTTTATTTCTTTCATTAATAATTCTGTCATACACTTTACCAGGTATACTCAACAAACTTATTTCCCTATAAGTTTTTACACTCTCTTCTGTCCCCCTTGCCTTTATACAAATGAATTAGGCATGCTCTCTGCCAATCCCCAGTACCTTCCTTTCTTCTATACATTTTTTTAAATAAAAGCACCAACCATTCCAAAACTTTATCCCCACTTGCTTTTAACATTTCTGTCTTTATCCCATCATTCCCAGCCTCTTTACACCCTTTCATTCTACCCACTGTCTCACACACACCTCCCCCACTCTCACAACAAGCTCTTCCTCACTCTTACAAGATGTTATACTTCCCTGCCCAATGCACAAAATCACAGCTTTCCTGTCTTCATCCACATTCAGCAGTTACTCATTATATTCCCTCCTTCCTGATATCTCAAATTCTAAATCTCATAACTTTCCTCCCCTCTCCTATTTTTAACTGTAAAGTCCACTGGTTCCCTAGGCTTTCTCAGCTTATTAATCTCACTCCAGAACGTTTTCACATTCTCAGCAAAATTTGTTGATAGCATTTCAGCCACTTTCTCATTTGCTTTCGTTTTACATTCCTTCATCATTCTCTTTTTCTCTCCATATACTTCTTATATCACTCCATATACTCCTTGAATTACTTCTGCTTTGTAAAAACACACCTCCAGAGAATATTCTGAGTCACTCTGACACTTAGGCTGCGGCCCGAGTACCAGAAATGTTTTTAAGGGAAAAAAATATTCAAAAAAAATATTATATATATATAATATATATATATATATATATATAAAATATATATATATATATATTTTATATATATATATATATATATATATGTGTGTGTGTGTGTGTGTGTGTGTGTGTGTGTGTGTGTGTGTGTGTGTGTGTGTGTGTGTGTGTGTGTGTGTGTGTGTGTGTGTGTGTGTGTGTGTGTGTGGTGTGTGTGTGTGTGTGTGTGTGTGTGTGTGTGTGTGTGTGTGTGTGTGTGTGTGTGTGTGTGTGTGTGTGTGTGTGTGTGTGTGTGTGTGTGTGTGTGTGTGTGTACTCACCTATTTGTACTCACCTATTTGTGGTTGCAGGGGTCGAGTCCTAGCTCCTGGCCCCGCCTCTTCACCGGTTGCTACTAGACCCTCTCTCTCCCCGCTCCATGAGCTTTATCAAACCTCGTCTTAAAACTGTGTATGGTTCCTGCCTCCACTACGTCATTTTCTAGGCTATTCCACTGCCTTACAACTCTATGACTGAAGAAATACTTCCTACTATCTCTCTGACTCATTTGTGTCTTCAACTTCCAATTGTGGCCTCTTGTTTCTGTGTCCCCTCCCTGGAACATCCTGTCCTTGTCCACCTTGTCTATTCCACGCAGTATTTTATATGTCGTTATCATGTCTCCCCTGACCCTCCTGTCCTCCAGTGTCGTCAGGCAGATTTCCCTTAATCTTTCTTCATAGGACATTCCCCTTAGCTCTGGAACTAACCTTGTTGCAAACCTTTGTACTTTCTCTAGTTTCTTGACGTGCTTTATCAAGTGCGGGTTCCAAACAGGTGCTGCATA